CCGCGTGGCTCGCCCGTGGCGGACACGCTGCCGAGATGGAAACGGAAACAAAAGCTTTTAATAAAGCTCTGCTGGCGGCCTCTGGAGCAGCGCGCCCCGGCCGCCCGCCCTGCCGCCGCTCCGGAGGGCGTAAGTGAGGCGATCGTAGTGAGGCCCTCGAAACGTGACGAGCCTCGCCTGGACAATAGGCAACAAATCATATCCAGCGTGCCCCGTGGCGTGGTGTGGCGTGGCGTGGCGTGGCGTGGCGTGGCGTGGCGTGGCGTGGCGTGGCTTGGCGTGGCGTGGCGTGGCCGCTTCTCTTGACGCGCCGCGTGTGGCCTATACCGTACCACCCCGGGGGTCGCAATTAGGCCGTAAACCAAGTCGGCGGGGGCGTGCCGCGGTGAGCAAGTAAAAACACTCGACAAAAACATCTAGTTCGAGTGATGTAGCGGCGGCGATACACATCAAGGAGGAGGAACGATGTCAAAGGGGTAGTTTTTTTTGTTCGTGTTTCTCCTCTCTTTCTTGACCGCGTCGTGTGCTTGACCCTGCTGTTAATTTTTCCCACATTTCGGGCATCGCTTGACCCTGGCCGGCCGGGCCACGGCGGCGTCAACAGGAGGACAAAACAGCCCAAAAATAATAAAAAGGCACGAGTCCGGGCCGGGCGCTGCCGCCGCTGGTGCTCCCATTCGGACAGCGTGGGAGCCGAGCCGGGGCCGGGCGGCAGCGCCTGGCCAGCGCCGGCCGGGCATCCTGAAGGAGACCTGTGGGACAGCGGCGTAGCCGAGTCCATCGCGCGGAGCGCGAGGCTCTCCCTCTCACCTGCCACCTGCTAGCTCATTTACCAGGATATCGTATATAGGCATTGAGGACCCTCAGAGTGCCTTTTACATTAATTGCCTAAAAGATCTCAATGTACCTGTGGAACAGGCACATCGCAGTCCCCGCTGTAGCTACGCCACCGGCTGCTCCCCGCCGCGCCGTGCCACCGGTACAGAGCGCCCGCCCCGCGCCGCCCCGACCAGCAGTCAGCACGTGTTATCCGGGCCAGCGCGTTGCGCGCGGCTCCGTAGCGGGGCGTGGCGGGGCGGGGCGTTGGGGACCGAGGCTACGGACCGATGGGCTCCCGGACCACGTACACCCTCCTTCAAAAGTGTCCCCAATCTCCATACGGTCTGACGCAACCCCATGCGTGCCCGTCATCATCATCATGCGAGTCCTAGGCTCTCTGACTGCGACGATAAAACGAAATACCCCCTCACCCACCATGACTGTACCAACCCCCTGGAACTTTCTCCCGCCATCTGTCTTCGCGAAGGTCTGTCCGGTCGGCTGCAGCACGGCTGCACATCTCACGGGTCGCTCCCCCCCCCCTCCCCCACGTGGACCCGCTGGAATTTTGGAGGCTGCTGGAACATGCTGTACGGTGCCCGGCGGGCCGGCGCGGGGCTGTAAGCGCCGCCGTGCCGCGGACGTGTCCGGGGCTCCGGACGTGCGCGGACTCCGGAGGCCGCTCCTGGAGCCTGGGCCCCGGAGCAGCAGCAGCGGCCCGCGTCTCCTAAAAACGTCCCAGCTGGGCCTATGGAGCTACAGTTCAGTACTCACCTCCTGGCGGCGTCAGCGGCGCTGGCGAGCGCGAGCAGCAGGGCCAGCAGGGAGAGCAGCGGGGCGCGCAGCATGGCCGAGAGCATGGCGCGTCATGTCTCATGGCCCATGCGCCCTTACCGCCGCCGCCGTGCCTGCTGCATGCGGCAGCGCTCACTCCTGCAATCAGAGGGAAAGGCGATCAGGACGATGCTGCTGCTGATGGACTCGAGCCCGGGACATCCGGGGCAAAAGTCTTCGCTGCAATCATCTCGTGGCGTCGCCGGGCCGGCGCGGCGTGCGCGGCCTGCTGCTGTTCTCGGGGACGCGACGCGAATGGCAAATAATACGGCCGCAGCCGCCGAGGGCGCCAAAGCTAGCTACACAAAAAGTTAAACTTTCTTTGCTTTTGTGTACATTTGCACAGCGACGAGGTTCGGTACTACTTGCTCCGGGGTGCTTTGAGAGAGGGAGGAAGGGAGGGG